GAAGAAGGGAGAGAAGCAGAGGGGAACTGGCCACCAGAAGCAGGGCTGTACGGGGGAGATTGGGAGGAGAAACAGGGAGAGGGGGTAGTGAATTGGCCGGCGGGAAGCGGGGCTGACCCGGGTACATGCAGACCGAGGCACACAAGTGAGTCTGGCCCCGGGGATTCCATTCCTCCCCTCATACCCTCCCTCGAGTAATTGAAGAAGGGAGAGAAGCAGAGGGGAACTGGCCACCAGAAGCAGGGCTGTACGGGGGAGATTGGGAGGAGAAACAGGGAGAGGGGGTAGTGAATTGGCCGGCGGGAAGCGGGGCTGACCCGGGTACATGCAGACCGAGGCACACAAGTGAGTCTGGCCCCGGGGATTCCATTCCTCCCCTCATACCCTCCCTCGAGTAATTGCGAACTGCCTGACTGGTGTACACTCACGCAGCCTGAGCACGTCTACCAGCCAGGCAGTTTCAGCTATAGACTGATACACCAAATAATAATAAAACTTACCTAATTAGAAAATACCAGACATTTTATATGTCCGGTATTTTCTCAATTTGTTTACCAAACAGAACCCTCAAATACTGGATGGTCCAGTACAAAACCTGGCAACCCTCCCACTCCTTGCACCCTCCCTCCTAGCCAGATACCCCAATCTGCTCCTGCTCCCGCCTCCTGAAGTGCCTATGTGGCGCTGGGTCCCCCCAAGCCCTGGCCCAGACTGGGCAGAGGATGCAGCCGGGTGAAACACTGAAACTTTATTCATTTTTAATTTTTTTTATATGCGTTCATATTTTTGGGCTGCAAACAACAATCCTGAAAAAAAAATGGGTTCCAACTAAAGTAAAAAGTTTGGGAAACCCTGGTCTAGCCAGCTTTCTATCCATCTTACAGTCCATTTATCCAATCCATAGTCCCTTAACTTGCTGGTAAGAATACTGTGGGTGACCATGTCAAAAGCTTTGCTAAAGCTGGCACTGGGGGCTTTGGGAGAACTAGAATCAACTTATATGAATATTCATCATTTGCTTAATGACTATGCAAATATGCAAATGAATGTTCCCAGCCCTCCAAAAGCTCGTGAATGAATTTACTGGTCCCCATATCAAAAAGTTTGGGAACCCCTGCTCTAACAGGTAGAGAAGGAACAGAGGAGCTGTGCCACATGCGTGCCTAATGGACTCTAATGGCACAAGGGGGCTCTACGGCATGTACGCAGTGCAGTGGAAACTGCTGGAAAAGTCTCCGGTCGCCGGCACGAGAACACAACAGCACCCCGAGT